AGAGCTGGAAAAGCGCACGCGAGCGGGACGAAGTGTCAATTTTGTCTCAAATTCAAATTTAAGACATTTTCCTCCCAAAAAGTAACAGTTTTAACAAATAAAAGGAAATTTACATATCTGTGTTCAGTGTTCTCTCTCCTCTGTCAAAAGATGGTATTCTTTTGTACCCCGGAAGGCAATCAATGAGGAATCCTTGGGGAGAAACGACACATGTACCGCCAACTGGCCGACAGAGTCTGAGGGAGGGGCGAGCCCGACTCAGCAAAACGATTTTTGTTTGTGGTGTGGGGGAAGGAGGATGAGGGGGGGGGGGGTGTCTAGGTTATTCAGATGTAAACTGTTGGGCCAAGTGAAATGGAAATAACCATTATTATTAATGTGACTTATTGTAGTGAAATCAGGAGCACGTCAAAATAATGAAATTGAAGAAAAGGCATCTCGCTACCCATTTGGCAATTTTTTTTCAAAATTTTACTATTTGGCTGAACACCTTTGAAGTCCATTTAAACAAATTCCTGTGTGGATTATACGGAAAAACGCTGAATAAAGGCACGCGAAATGTACATTTACAGTATGGAAGTCACCAAACTTTGGCTGCCATTTTCTCGCTAATTTCACTTCTGAAACCAGGTAACCTTCACCTACTTCAATCAAGATTATCTCCACCTCTTTTGAAGATAGGTGGTTAATTTTTTCTTTGAAAAAAAAGACCAATAAACAGTCTTAAATACATTGCTAATAACTCCACAAGCCCAACATTTGACGAACGCTTGATCCCACCACGTCGTGACACCTATTTATCGATCATCAGAGAAGGTTGATCCCGTTCTTCCTGTAGACAGCAGACGAAGTGGCGAAGAGACAGAATCAGCTGTGTCGACAAACAAACGAAAAACTTGGGACCCCCCCCAAAAAAACAACAACAAAAAAACAACAACAACAACAACCGAAACTGTGTTTGGTTTTTTTATTTTTTTTTCTCCAAAAGAAACCAGTTCTCATGCCGTATCAACAAAAAGGCCTGTCTTTATCCCACACACTGGGGCACACATACTGAAATGGAGAGTCGTGGCCTAGAGGTTAAGGTGGTCGCCTCTCATTCAAACGTCCCGGGTTCGAATCCGGGTAGCGACGGAACAATTTTCTTCTCTAAAATTGTCTACTTTCAGATTCGTCCCTTCTCTCTAGCAATGTTTTGTCTTCTGCTTTCGTCTCCACTTTCTGCCCTCACCTCCTTTACCTCCTTTGTCCCCTCTTCTGGGCTCCTGACTCTTTCTGCAGCCTTTCTACTGCTACTCCTTGACTCCTTCTTACTGCTGTCTCTCAGCCACACCCCTGATCTTCTTGTAGGAAAGATCTACACTTAGCCCTCTCGGACACGGGCGAAAAATCTTGGAGGTCCCGTGTGCAGGTTGCGCACGTTGAAGACACCTTGTTGGTCCAAAAAACCTTCCGAGCACCACCAAAACCACAGCGAGGCTGTCTGAGGGTTTGATGGTGCTCGGAAGGTTTCCACTGACAAGGATACCAGATGTTTTCAGTTTTGGCGAGGGATTAATTCTGAATTCGTCCCGGATGGCGACTGAAGCTGTTGGGCAGA